CTCTTCTTGAGCATCTGTTTTTTGTTGTTGTTTTTGTTGTTTTTTAGGTTAAAAAAAGTTATTTTATTTATCATATTGGTTTGTTTGTTATAAAACTCACCAGTATTTTCTAAAGAACTAGGGTAGAGGATAAAAGTTTGTTTTAGAACTTTTGGCATCATAGAACCCTTTTGGTTCTAATCAGAACTTTTATTTTGAATAAAGGCGGTTAGAACTTTTGAATCCAGCTGTCAGTGAGTTTGTCTCCGGTGCTCACCTGCAACCGCCTGAAAAGTTTCCGTGAAATTGAGGAGTTCGGAGCCCTTGAGTTCGTCATGCGGGCTCTCCTGCCGGTTCATCCCCGTCCCGTCCGCGCCTAACCGGGGTCCCGGCATCTCCTGCGGGGGATAGAAACTATCTGGAGGGTCCGAGAAACTGGGGAGGGTGGTGGTGAGCGCCACCATGGAGGGCATCCCCTGACCCAAACCTGCGCAAAAAGTGTTGGTGAGACGCCCCGCGAACGATGCCAACGGTGCCAAGGGAGGGATACCCGACGGTAATGACGAATGAGACAGGGCTTGTGGAATCATAAGCGGTCGGTACGGCATAAACATCGGGTAGCCCGTGTAGAGCAGGTGGCCCGGCCGGGGCTGTGGAGTGCCAATCAAAGAATCAATGGAAAACGCCGTGCCCGTACCGCTCGGTCTCTGCATGGTGAACTGAGCGCGGTCTGGTCGTATAAATCCCGTGCACTGGCCTTCTGAGACAAATCACCCAAATGTGGTCCACGGTTATCCTGATGGTGCTGTAGGGTCCTCGCCGTCCAACTGACTGGGACCTGATGCGTTTTTTTGTCTGAGCTCTCAGTGTCTCAGCCTCTATTTGTCACATACTGAGACATAAACACACACACACACACTCTCTCGCGCGCGCGCTCTTGCACCCTCTCTCTCTCTCTCTCTCTCTCTCTCTCTCTCTCTCTCTCTCTCTCTCTCTCTCTCTCTCTCTCTCTCTCTCTCTCTCTCTCTCTCTCTCTCTCTCTCTCTCTCTCTCTCTCTCTCTCTCTCTCTCTCTCTCGCTCTCTCTTTCTCTCGGTTATCATCAATACAAGAGGATAGAAGGGGGTGTTGCCCTGGAGACTCATCCATCTTCCTCAAATTACGCTTCATTTCCTTATTCAGTCCCTGACTTTTTAGGCCGCCTAGAGAGGGGGGTGTAGTTTCCCAGTGGGTCAAGTCCCCTCCTCATGGAAAGCGAATGTGAGGGGACTGCGTTGACCACACCAACCCAATCAACTATTATTAATTTTGATTGATGATAAGTAATTACTTTGTATTCAAGGGAAGATATATAACAACGGTTCTTTTGTTGATTCTTTTAGAGGCCGATGGCATCGGAGTCGTGAGGGCGGAGAGGCAGATGTTTCGGCCCTCTTGTGAGAGAGAGTCTTTTCTTTTCTGTTCGGAGAAAGAGTGAATCTGGCCGACAATTATCCCCAAGAGAGAGATTTTACTGATGAAATGACGTTTGAATGTAGAGATCTGTGTGAACACTATGCTGATAAAATAGGGAAGTATTACAAGATATTGGCTTATAATTATCTATAGGCCAAAAAAATATGGATTTTAGATGATAAAATTAAGCAATTCCTTGAAGAAAAAATGTCAAAAAAATGCTGGGTTGTTTCAATGTTTGGATCAAATATGGACAAACACAACCATTGGGCTTAAAATTTTAATTCAAACCATAATATATATTTAAATAAAATGTAAACCAATTTACGCTTGGGTTCGTCCATATTTGACACATACGTGGGTTGAAACAACCCAACGTATTTTAGAGTGTAGCCATTTTTGTGCATGGAAATGTGAAATGAAAACATTTCAAAAGCGTTTTCAAATAACTTTCAGTCTCCAAAAGTTAGATAAGTTCGCTAAATGTAGGCTACATGCTAGCGAAAAGAAATCGTGGTTGTTCCCCTGAGGGGTAACCATAGCAACAGCAGGCAGCGCGAGACGAGTGCTTTCCGTTGGGATCCGCCCGGCCGGAACTTCCACAAAACACAAGTAGGCCAACTGTCATTATTTATCACTTTATTATTCTATATTAATATATCGAAAGTATATCACAAAAAGTTTTGTTTAGATGGCTTACGTCACCCAGAGTATTAGGGCGGCGAAACAACAATTGAGTTACGCGAGACGATCTCAACAGATTAAACCGAAAATTACTGACAAAAATTCCCTTAAAATGCTGGGCCTGGTCATGGATAACAAGTAACGTTAGTTTCTTCGTTTGGCCTGAACAAACCTGCCTTTTTATTTATTTTTGAAAGTAAAAACAATATATAGGGCTAACGTTATAGAGGCTAGCTATAATATTTTTAAACTTTAACTTAATGGCACAGCCATAGGGTCTAAAGGGCTCTGTGTTTTTTATCCAAGATTTTCAGCCTTTTAAAGAGACATTTCTCTTTTTTATAATCTCCGGTCAGTTAGGTCATCTACATTTAAAATATATATATATATATATATATGTATGTATATGTATTATCGTAGTTCATACATTGAACATATTAATCATGTGCATTCACGTAATCCATTGTAATGTGTTTAAATAGAGCCAGACAAAAAGAGTGTCATGTAGGCCTATCTCCACAGATATTCAGAGGAAAGGTCCTTGATTAATCATACAGATAATTTGGACAATATGTAGGCTACAGAAAATTAAGAAGGAAAAGACTTTAAGAGAAAAACGAATCATATACTTTCCTTATTTGAGAATATAATTTAGATTTTAAGAAAAAAATAAAAGAAAAAACAAAGAAAAGGGGTCTAAAATTGCACCCTCTGAGCGGTTTCTCTTTCCCCGCTAAGCATTAATTTAATCGGAGATCATTTTACCGTTTAAATGCCAATTCACTTCTGATGATGATTAGGCGCTATTGAGTCCTGCGGGGCGCGAGCTCTCCAACTGGCCGTCTGATTGCGCGAGGACATAAACACATCACCTCCGACTCTGATTAGCGATGGAGGACCCACAGATGCTAATTATTCTTATAATTGCAAATGACTCCATTCAGGAGCAGTGCTCTTTGATCTATTGAAACCAGACAGCGTTCTCTCTCTCTCTCTCGCTCTCTCTCTCTCTCCCTCTCTCTCTCTCACGCTCCTGAATGGGATACAATCAGAGCCCCCCCCTCCTCCTCTTGGTCATAAGACTTTTATCAAAGATCTGTTCATAGACAATTGCTTTGCAGCTTTGTTCTTCACTACATGAAGAAAAAAGAGCAAACCAACAAGGCTTTATTATCTTTGACGCGCAATTATATCCAAATAATGCTAGGGATTATGATCAAATGTATTATGATCAATGTATTAGGATGGATGCAGGCCAAGTGGGACAATTGGTAAGCTTCATCCTAATCTAATATAGGGTGACATTTGGATCATATATTTTTTAAACAACACTATCAGAAAGTGTCCCCTGTATTCTGATACTTTATAATAATTTATAAAATTGTAGTATAATAATAAATATTATTATTCACAAACAAATGTCCATTGCATTGTTGCTATTGTTTTTTAAAGAGTCAAGGTGACAGGATCATTAGACATGAGACCCTCACATTGTCCCCAATCATTCTGCGCTCTGCCTTTACTTGCTGTTTATCATTCAAGCGCATGCCTCTCCATAACATAATCACATAATACTTCCACACAACTCATCTCCATAATGCTCCTCTGAAGGAAAAGCCACATGTGGCTGGATGAGCCTGTGTCACTCATCTTTCAGATCGGATAACAACAAGTAAAAAAAAATTAAAAACCTGACGTGGTACTTAACATTTTAAAAATCATGTATACAATAGTATTCATCCACATAGAGAATAATGTTACAGCAAGATTTCCTATATCATTCCTCTGAGAAGATAGATAAATGAAGATGAAATCACTGGATAGGATAACGATATCAAATAAGAAAGTGCCATCCAAGCATATCTGGACATGTACCATAATAATACAGAATTGTATTGTAAGCGAAGCCTCAAATTAGACATGAAATCAAGCACTAAAAATGTTAAAATAGTTAAGTTGATAGAATAGAATAGTAGAACCTTTCTCTCTAAAAAGAAACATTTTAAATATAAATCAATTTTTGCGAATTAAAAATGCTGTTGTTTCAACCCATGTTTGGGTCAAATATGGACTAACCCAACCGTTGGTTTAATTTTTTTAAATTAAAATTTTAAACCCAATGGTTGTATTTTTTTAGCATTAATAACAAATAAAATAAGAAAAACAGCTAAAATGAATTACATAAATATAAATACAATTTGTAAAGTTTATTTTACAAGAAAATTGAAACATTAAAACATACCATTGTTTTGAATATTTTCAGAAACTTTCAATTTCGCATGAATTCCTATCAGTGCTTTAAGAACTTTGAAGAGTTCAGATTCCATGAGAGCTCCATGGCGCCCCACTGTGGAAGCTAATGAGAACTTTATATCCTGACCTTCGGCTTACACCTCCTGTTTTGTTCTTCATGAAACTCTTTCATCTTTTTTCTTTCTTTTAATGCTTTAAAATAGATATCAGTAATAGTACAACCTCGTAATCTTTAATCAATATAACTTCCCCTCCCTCTTGCAGCGATGTCTCTTCTCTGATGATGTGTTTACTGGCCCGAGGGCGGGGCAACCTGTCACTCACATGAGATCCACCAATAGCAAACCACAACCATCCAATAATTTCCCCATGGACATAATCAAGAGGACACTTCACTTGGATATACGTCTGCACAATGGTCACATGAATTTACCAAGTAAGACGTTCCAGGATTAACATATTTTTGTTCATCCTGGAACAACAGTCCTGTCTGGAAATGTAATCCTAACCCTATCCCTACCCCTAAAACTAACCATACCCACAAGTTAACCCTAAAATCAGAGGGAAATATAACACTGATGTAGAAGCACCTAACCCAGGTTGTAAGCCTAAACTTGATATAAACTGTAAACTTATCCTTCAAATCTGATTGGTGGATTGAAATGTTGATCCAGTGTTGCACGGTGAAATCACATTCATCATGTCACAATAGGGGAGAAAAGACTATTGCAACTTCCATTTCATGCCGACTTTAAACAAAAAACTTGGTAAGGACAAATTTCTACCCTTCAGAATCACAAAGAATTAAACAAAACTCAATGACTTGATGGATGGTTGTGTGCGTGCTTGTGTGTTCTCAGGTTTGTGGTCTCTCAGTGCATATAGTCTTTGAATGCCAGCATTATATAATTTTTTAGAAAGGTTGGCAGACCCAGGTTAGGGAGCACCCAGTGCAAGCGACCCTCCAGGAACGCTCGGAGTCTGTGGCGGGCCAGGTGCTGGAGACATCGAGGAGTTTGGCTCAGTGCAAACAGGGATTCGTAGAACTCCCGGTGTTTCTGTGCCAAAACAAGACACATATGAATTCATATGATCTGATATTGTAAGAAGATTATTTTGAGATGAGTGAAACCCATTTCTTTTTTTTTCTTCTTTTTTTTTACTTGCTATTTAACATTCAGTTAAACATTCAATACATTATATTTAAGAAAACATGGAAGCTGTACATCATCTGACCTGAAACACTTCCGGAGGAACCGCCTCTACCCAGGCGTCCGTGATTTTGAGCCGGTCATAGGCGTTGAAGAGCACTTCTATTGTTCGTGGAGATGTGCAGCAATATTTCAACACCTGTGTCAGAGAATAAAGCTGTCATATTACAAGAAAAAGAAAACAGGGAAATGAAACTCAAATATCAAGTATATTATTTGTAGCTGTTTTTTTATTTGAATATATTTTAAAATGTAATTTATTCCTGTGATGCAAAGCTGAATTTTCAGCGTCATTCATCCAGTGTCACATGATCCTTCAGAAATCATTCTAATATATTCTTATTATAAACAATGTTGAAATCTTTTATTGCATTATGAATGTCTTTACTATCCCTTTTGACCAATTTATTACATCCTTGCTAAATAAAACTATCATAAATGTTAAAAAAGTAAATTAAAGTATCAAATATGAATAAAGTCTTGTTTATCTCTGAAAATAGATCCAAATGTAATGTTCTTCAGAAACCAACAGAATAGATCACAAGAAATTAAATGGCCAGATCTTAATAAGAATAAACCCTTTCCCAGTAAAAAAAAAAAAAAACCATCCGAAATCGCATACTTCCCTATATAGTAGGCGAAAAACAGTATGTGACAAAAGAAGTATGTCCGAGTTCACAGTACTCATAAAACAGATGGTAAAATTACCCGGATGACCTACTACTTCGTGTGCATACGATAAACACTTTACTATCCCATGAGGCCACAGGAGAGGATTTATGAATGGAGGTGAAGCGCGCAACTGACGCTGGTAGGTCACATGATAATGACAACATGGCGAATGTAGTATGTTCAGATTTAGCGGTTGTGAAGTAATTACTTATTTAAAATACCTACTCAAGAGAGTACGCGATTTCAGACGCAGCCGGTCATAGATCAGCAGGTTTCTGTCAGTTTCCACCTGGTGCAACAGCCCCACCTGTGTTGTGGAGGTCAAAGGTGGAAAGTTGTAGTTTTGGGTTGAACATGGCATGGAATAATTAACTACTTGGGCTGATGAACAGATTGGGCCCCCCTCTGGGGGATTGTGGGGAATTTCTGCAATTACTGCTAATTAATCTCCTATTAACATTTGCCTCGTTAAGACTCAGGCAATTTATTTGGCACAAGTGGGACTCATTGGATGCGTGATGTCAAGTGTTTTTAACTGTGCGCTTTTGAAAGACAGAAATAAATCCATCTGAAAGTGATTATTTCTGTATTTGTGACAAGTAAAGTATCATATGCTGCTTGCTGTGAACTTTAATGATGGTTTTGAGTTAATTCATTCATAGTTGAATAGGATAAATACTGTATATATACTGTTTAATTTATAAAACTGTAATTTACAGACTGCAGATGGATGTCTTCTTGAGACGTGGGTTCGTTCAAGTGGCAAAAAGGTTAGTTCCCAATTTTACTGTGCTAGTTATAAAATGAATAGAATGTAAAAATGAAAATTTATTCACCCTCATGCCTTTCCATGACTTTCTTTTGTGGTTTCTTTTATAACATTATAAATGGCTTTACTGTCACTTTTGACAAATTTAATGCGTCTATATATACAAATATCCCAAAAATGAGAAATATCAGTAGTGCATACCACTAATAAAAAAAAATCCTTAAGGAATACTTTAATTTATTCATAATTTGGAACCAATCCTAAACAGTCTTTATGAGATAATCAGGGAAATAAGTCAGAAAAAGAATGAAAAATTAACCTAATGGATAAACAAAAATAAGCATTTCAGCAAATCCAGCATGAATTGGTACAATCAGATAACTCCTAAAGTGCCCCTGTTATGCTGTTTTAAAGGTTCCTAATTTTATTTTGGATGCCTCCTACAATAGTTTTACATGCATCCAAGGTTAAAAAAACACTTTGATTTTCTCATAAAATACATTGTATATCACCTCATTTCTCAAAGAGTCTGAAAACGGTTTGTTCGATGATTCTGGCTGAATCCCAAATCGCCCTCTAAACCCTCAATCACTATTCCCTACGTTAGTCAACTAATACAGTTCACTTGAAGGAATGAATGAAAATGAGTGAGCGAATTCGGACAGCCGTTGAGCGTACATCAGCTGTACACTCGTTATTGCAGTGCAATGTGGGATTGAATGAGTGCACTCAATAACGTCCACTGTGGTTTCGGACACCACTACTAATGGCTGTCCCCTCAAATAATGCCCTATCTGAGGGTATAGATTTTGGATTTAGCCAATGTTTCTATAAAGCCCTCCTTTCCACAACCATACTCTGCTCTGATTGGTTAGATGGCTCAGTCTGTTGTGATTGGTCTATCGCTTACAGTGCATGCTGGAAACGAAACGCATATTACCAAATCTGAATTTCAGCTCTGGATCTTCCTCAGCGCTTGATACACAGTGATACGAACAGTAACGATGGCGTCAGTTTTTCTGTATCAATTCTAGCGTGAGTCTTCGTCCTATTAAACTGCAGTAAAGTGGATTTGCTTTCGGAGAGCTGAAAACAGCGTCTTTATGACATGTCGAAAACACAAACCAAACTCTTCCAGTCTCAGCTACAGTGTTTGAGGGTCAAAGTTAGGGTTAGCCATTGTTCGCCATTGCCGTTGTTCGCGGGCAGCCATTGACCATAGGCTGGTATTGTGCTAATTTGTTACATTGTTACATAGGTATGTAACAGGAAGTGAGACTGGAATTGCTAACGACTCCGTTTCAGCAGTTCAGAATTTATTATTTTATTCGTCTGGCAGATGTTTTACATTTTATTACACACTGCATGAAAGTTGATTTTCGAAAAAGCATAATAAGGACACTTTTAAAGGGTTTCAATCTTTTTAGATTGGTTCCAAATTAGGATATAAATGAGCATTCCTTGACTAGGGATATAGTGTCCAGTGCTGACCTTGGGCAGAGCTCCAGGCCACACTCTGATGGACCCGTAATTGAGGAGTGCCTGAACGATCCTCTCGGGCTCATGGTCCGTCTTGTAGGCCACCACCTTCAGGATGTTATGCATTGGTGCTTCTCCACCGTAATCCATTTCGTTGACCAAGGCTTTGTTCTTAAGCAGTAGATCCACCACGTCAGGGTTGACGTTCTTACACGCCATGTGCAGTGGAGTCTGCTTGTCCGTGTCACTGACCTGTACATCCGCCCCGGCAGAGACCAGCATGTGGCAAACACGACTGTAGCGCTCCTGAGACGAGCGCTCCTGAGGCTGGGAGCACGCGGCATTCAGAGGTGTGTTTCCTTCGTCGTTTCGTAGGTTTAGCGCAGCTCCGTGTCGTAAGTAGAGCTCCACGTGATCTGGAAGGCCGTGGCGGGCCGCCACATGAAGGGCCGTGTCGTTCTCATCCAAGCTTTGACTGTTGATCAGAGCGCCGAACGCAAGTAGATGTTTGGCACACCTGGAAAAACATACACAAATATTACATTCTGCGTTAGCTCTATCAATTTTGTTGGATATTATTTAACATCAAAGTCTGCGTTGTCTACAAGTACACTACCGGACAAAAGTTTGAGGTCAGTAAGATTTTAAATGGTTTTGAAAAAAGTCACTTATGAGAAGGCCTCATCGCCCTTAATTGATAAAAAAATACAGTAAAAACAGTAATATTGTGAAATATTATTACAATTTAAAATAGCCATATATTTGAAAATGTAATTTATTCCTGTCATGCAAAGCTGAATTTTCAGCATCATTACTCCAGTCTTCAGTGATCCTTCAGATATTATTCAATTATACTGATTGAAAAAGCATTTATTATTATCAATGTTGAAATGCTGCTTAATGTTTTTGTGGAAACCAGGATACACTACCATTCAATAGTTAATACTTTTATTCAGCAAGGGCACATTAAATTGATAAAAAATGAGAGTAACAGGATTTATAATGTTACAAATGATTTCTATTTCAAATAAATACTGTTCTTTTTAACTTTCTATTCATCAACAAAACCTAAAAATGTGTATGTTTCCTCACACGTATCGATACATATACATTGATAAAAATAAGAACCATAATTAATAATTGAGCACCAATAATAATTGAGCCGCAATATTAGAATCAGCATATTAGACTGATTTGTGACTGAAGACTGGAGTAATAATGCTGAAAATTCAGCTTTGCATCACTGGAATAAATTACATTTAAAAATATATTCAAATAGAAATATATTTCTTCTTTCAAAAACAAACAAACAAACAAAAAAACATAATTATTCCAAACTTTTGAGCGGTGGTATACCTTCATTTCAAGTGTCAATCTGACAGTCATTTGAAAAGTTCACCACAGGATTTCCTGTAATCACAGCACTGAACAAGCACTTACTCAAGGGAATCGAGTTCAGTGCACACGTGCAGGGGCATCTGCCCGTCTTCATTGGCTACGTTGGCATTGGCTCTGTACTGCAGCAACAGCTTGGCACACTCGGGCTGGCACTCCTCACAGGCCTCATGCAGGGCAGTGCTGCCCCCAGGTGCCAGGTCCACTCGAGCGCCCCTCACGAGGAGATGCCGCAGACATTCGGTGAAACCCCGGCCAGCGGTGATGTGCAGTGGCGTGGTCAGCTCTTGTTCATACGTCAATGACCACAGTCCTGAACAAAAGAGCACGGTTATTATGAGATTATCTGAAGATTACGACATTCAGTATTGCAGTTAGCTTTCAACTGTACAGTTAGTTTCAATTTTAGATCAGGAAATCAAGAACACGACTGGAGAGTTTGAAGATTTAAAAGATTTTTGCTTAGTTTGTGTGGATGCCAACCAAAGTGACAGGGCTAACATCTAGGGAAGGGGCATAAAGCACATTTGCATATTATTACATTTGCATTTCAAAAGTTTGTGGTTGGTAACATTTCTTAATGTTTTTGACTCTGAAGTCTCTTCTGTTCACCAAGGCTGCATTTATTTGATCAAAAATACAGTAAAAAGGTAATATTGTGAAATATTATTACTATTTAAACATTTTCTATCTGAATATTTTATAAAATGTCATTTATTCCTGTGATGCAAAGCTAAATTTTCAGCATCATTACTCCAGTCTTCAGTGTCACATGATCCTTCAGAAATCATTCTAATACGCTGATTTACTGAGATTTACACAATTATTAATAATAATGTTTCTTAATATTATCAATGTTGAAAACAGTTTTTGCTGCTTAATATTTATGCTTAATTTTTTACCATGATACATTTTTTGATGAAGAGAAAGCTCAAATAACAGAATTTATTTGAAACAGAAATCTTCTTTAACATTATAAATATCTTTACTGTCACTTTTGACCATTTTAATGTATCCTTGCTGAATAAAAGTATTAATTTCTTTAAAAAAAAAATCTTACTGTACCAAACTTTTAAATGGTATATAGTATACTTTCGGTACATGTTTAATCTTAACAATAATTCTATAAATATCCAAAGCAATTTCCATTGCATGTTTTTTATTTAGGTGTTTGATGACATTAGATGCATTGTAACTGTAACATCACACACAGTGCTGTAGGTTTATCTGAATTCACTCATTTACTGTTAACAGAATGCTAAATGAGTCAAACACCAACATCCAACATAATGCCTCTGACACTTACAGTGTGTTCTTATAGATTAATAAGTTAGCAGATGCCATGATGCACATGAGCAGACAATCTTGTTCAGTTTCATTACTTGCTAAATGACAATGCGGACAGTCAGTTTATAATGTAACACACCAAGAAAAGTTTGTCTCCCATGCAATACTCATTTTTTCTGATCAGTATTTTAGCAAGTTTCAAGGGAACACGCATAAACACAAACTCATAAAAAGACCCCGAAGCAACCTCAAAGACACAGTCGGGGTGGTGCAATAAGAAGAGAGCAATCTATGTGTAACCGGAACACATAGGGGAACAAATAACTGTGACAGCAGGCGAGTCTGACGTGGAAATACTGGAAATGAAGATACGCTTTAGAGTGGCAAAGTTTAAGCGCTAGTGTATGCACAGGAATGTATACACTCACCTACAGGATTATTAGGAACACCCGTTCAATTTCTCATTAATGCAATTATCTAATCAACCAATCACATGGCAGTTGCTTCAATGCATTTAGGGGTGTGGTCCTGGTCAGGACAATCTCCTGAACTCTAAACTGAATGTCAGAATGGGAAAGAAAGGTGATTTAAGCAATTTTGAGCGTGGCATGGTTGTTGGTGCCAGACGGGCTGCTGCTCAGTTACTGGGATTTTCACACACCCATTTCTAGGGTTTACAAAAAATGGTGTGAAAAGGGAAAAACATCCAGTATGCGGCAGTCCTGTGGGCGAAAATGCCTTGTTGATGCTAGAGGTCAGAGGAGAATGGGCCGACTGATTCAAGCTGATAGAAGAGCAACTTTGACTGAAATAACCACTCGTTACAACCGAGGTATGCAGCAAAGCATTTGTGAAGCCACAACACGCACAACCTTGAGGCGGATGGGCTACAACAGCAGAAGACCCCACCGGGTACCACTCATCGCCACTACAAATAGGAAAAAGAGGCTACAATTTCCAAGAGCTCACCAAAATTGGACAGTTGAAGACTGGAAAAATGTTGCCTGGACTGATGAGTCTCGATTTCTGTTGAGACATTCAGATGGTAGAGTCAGAATTTGGCGTAAACAGAATGAGAACATGGATCCATCATGCCTTGTTACCACTGTGCAGGCTGGTGGTGGTGGTGTAATGGTGTGGGGGATGTTTTCTTGGCACACTTTAGGCCCCTAAGTGCCAAATTGGGCATTGTTTAAATGCCACGGCCTACCTGAGCATTGTTTCTGACCATGTCCATCCCTTTATGGCCACCATGTACCCATCCTCTGATGGCTGAATCATTTTAAATTGGTTTCTTGAACATGACAACATGAGAGTTCACTGTACTAAAATGGCCCCCACAGTCACCAGATCTCCACCCAATAGAGCATCTTTGGGATGTGGTGGAACGGGAGCTTCGTGCCCTGGATGTGCATCCCACAAATCTCAATCAACTGCAAGATGCTATCCTATCAATATGGGCCAACATTTCTAAAGAATGCTTTCAGTACCTTGTTGAATCAATGCCACGTAGAATTAAGGCAGTTCTGAAGGCGAAAGGGGGTCAAACACAGTATTAGTATGGTGTTCCTAATAATCCTTTAGGTGAGTGTACACTGCAATGATACTTAGGTAGACATAATGCATGACAAAATGATCTTTGAGAACAGAAAGGAATTATTATTAAATTAGTTAATAAATTATTTTATCCACACTTTAAATGGGCTATCAAAACGTTTTATGCTATATTCTGTGCTATTAATTAATTCTGGGTGGTCAGGTTTTTAGATTTCATAATCATTTATAAGATTATTTTATCATTCTGTACAAATAAATGTGTTCTAATAGTCTCAAGTGTGAAACATTCTAAAAAAATTATATTCAACGTTGTTTCCCTCAGAAGCTGAAACAGTTTCACATTGCATAAAAGTTTCTGCGATGATACGAAGCTCAAATATTGAATGGCTAAACAACTGTTGCGTGACATTCTAGTATGTCACCTTTGACTTCACAATTTTTAATGCTAACCCAAACGCAGGAGGTCTGAAAGTGTGCTAATCTAACCGGTCCTACTCAACCCTCTCTGAGCGGGATTCAAACCGGGGTCTCCGGCGTAGGAGGCAGGTGCGCTAACAAGTATGCTAAAGACCTCAGCCTAGCGTCAGACGCTAGCGTGCCTCTTGAGGCCAGGGGAGTGAGGTTTACACGCTCAGCTCTAACTGGTCTACGTCTGTTACACTAAAACGCATTCAGAATTACCAGTGTGAAGTTACTCTTAACCCAGGGTTAAAAATGGCCTCAACCTAGGGTTAAAATGACATTTAAATCAGTTTTATAGGCTACACATATGTAGAAGGCCTAGATTTATGCCATTAAAGTCACTGAGAAACTGGATTTGAGCAATTTACTCTTTTTTTTTTTAACCATTTTACTTACTATCACTAACAAAAAAACAAGTAAAATTTACTTAATTTTTGCATGTTTTACACTCAGATTTTTCAATTGCAATTGAGTAAAATCTAGCTAAGTAAAATGAACAAAGTACACACTGATTTTACTCAGTTTTTCTAAGGCAAATGGTTACACAAAATTAATGTATTTTAAACATCAAGACATTTATAGATTGTCTATGCTTGTGACACAATAATATTCAGTTGTGGTCAAATGTTCAACAATTGAGTTGTTTTAAGTAAACTAAACAAGCAGCAGGAATTATTTTTGCCCCATTGCATAGAAACATCATAGAAACACCAAACATAATTTCACATGTGTCCCTGTAACATACTTAGCCCTCTGTAGTTGAACCTGAAGTTCTTCCACTCCTCTATGTTGCTGGTGTCATATATGGCATCGATGAGATAAGCATACTCTGGGTCATCAATGATACCAATAACGGTGATGTCATCTCCGACCAGAAGCGCATTCCAGAACTGGAGGATAAATCCTGACGCTTGAGCCGTTGCGATCACGTCGCTGCGATATTTCTTTTGTTTGCGAAATTTAATCTTTGGCCCCATGTGTGAGGTAAAGCAAGGAGCAGTTCCGAATCCAGCTTCTTCTTCACGGTTGTGTTGATTGTCTGAGGGGCTTTTCAGACTGGGCACAATGTTATAGATGTTTGCCCTGAATATGTTTGGTTAGTCTGCTGCCTGTTTTTAGAAAGGGGCTATTTTAAGGACGCCTGGCATGACCTTTAGAACGGTCCAGAAACCCGAGGCTGTCTGGCCAATCTGAGAAGTAATCAGTTCAAGTAATCGTGACAATCGAAACAGATCTCTTGGGGGCAACCGAAATACTCTAAGCTCTAGCAGACAAATGCAAAGTTGAGCTTGACAACAACTTGCGCAAAGTTGAGCTCGGTTGCACAACAGCTTGTTCTTACCTCTCACTTTTCCACTTGGGACATAGCGCATGGCTCCTCCCTGTGGCTGGATGAGCAGGTCTGAAGGAAAGCCTCTGGAGAAAAGCTCTTTCACGGCCTCTACATTTCCAGTGTACAGGGCATTTTGAACAACAAGGTCTCGGCACACCATCGGAGGGTTTCCCACGGTCTGCCTGGAAGACGTCCCTCTGTCCCGGGCTTCTTTCCTCAGCAGATACCCACTGAGAACCGGGGCAGCCAGTCTCATCTGGTGCCGCTCCTGCTCTAAAGAGCGCAGAGAGCTTGGATTATACATGGGAGTCCTTCGAGACATGTCTAGACAATCTTCACCTACAGCTTCTTTTTGGTCTAGACACTAAAAGGCCTGGGATCTTTCAAACGGCCTTCTGCTCGGAGGGCTTGTTTTGACATCTGAGTTGGAACTTGGCCACATGTGCATCGAGACTATTTTTACAGTGTCACATGGGTGGGACATAACTTTACAGATTATGTTCGCTATATAGAAGGCAATGACTCATTGTTTATATCAAAACAGCTGTTTACCAGCAGGTCAGCTCTGCCTTATTAGTATTTTCAGATCAATCAGAATCAGAATCAGAATCAATATATACACTCTTGGGTGTTTCTTATACTCAAAATTATATTATATATTCATAAATGATATTATATTTTCATAAATTATGAAGCCAGTGACATGAAGAACATTTGAATTAATAATCTATCTTTTAATTAACCTATCTATCTATCTATCTATCTATCTATCTATCTATCTATCTATCTATCTATCTATCTATCTATCTATCTATCTATCTATCTATCTCTTCAAACTTTAAAGTTTTTTTTAAATGTTTCTCAAAACTTGTTTCTCAAACAAGGCTTTGCTTTTTTTCTTGTTAAATATTTTTTATTCGCATGAGTTAAATTTTTTTTTTAAATTGCAATTCATTAATTTCCTTACATTCAATTTCAAATTGCAATTCTGCATCCTGCTCGCTACCTCAGTTCAATACGAATTCAGGACTTGGATAGCAATTTAAAAGGCATTCTCAATTTAATCTATTTATCTTTCCATGTTTTCTCAATATAAAAATGCATCTTAATGCAATAATTATGATTATAATTTCTTAAATGATGATCCACCATCTCTCCCCCCCCCCAAAAAAAAAATTCCACATTCCGGTTTGCTCTAAAGACACTGCCTCGCGATGTCTTATCCATATGTTAATGACCCTGCCAATAGGAATATAAATGACATTTATTCCATTTTGCCATGCAGTAATAGCTGTCACATTGACTGAAGGCATCAAAAAGTTGCGACTTTGCGAACACACATTACAGGCGAGGCAGAGAATGGGAAGATTGTTTTGCTGCTGGAGTACATCCTTTTAAATGATACACATAATGAGTTTATAATATGCATCTGGGCTACCTCCTCACTACTTTGATGTCTTCCAAATGGCCCGGGTATCATCAGCAAAACATGTAGGCACTTTCCCGCCCCATTGCCTCCCAAATGTATTTTAAATATCATTCCTTGTAACGCAATTATTTAAAACGTTGAACTAAACACTTACTAATGGGGAAAAAAGACAGTGACTTCCATGAATTCATTTCTCAAATGGTGGACATTCAATTTTTGTGGAGGCAGGGACTTTCTCAAGCAAGAAAAAGAAAGAAGTGCATTGAATCAGCACTCCCTCGACTCGTTCGTCTTACTCCCTGCGGACAACACACACACACACACACACACACACACACATATACATATGCACGTACACAGACACACAGTCGTTTGTCTTGCTCCCTGTGGATAGAAGATGTCTATCATTTTGTCCTGCCGTGAGCTTAACAGTGAGGCCATCTGTAGGGTTAGGCTGGTCCGGTCAGACTCACACTCGCTGTTGAGGACCGTCACTGGACTTCCAGAACAGGCTAATGATCGTAACCTTCATCAGTGCAATTAGACAATTAGTTCCTGCTGATTATCTTCCACTTAAGACTGCTGCGCCTCATGTTAAAATCATAAGAATACACTGCTGAAACATCTAGGCCTACTCGGCGTGCAACACTAGACGCTACTAATGAATTTACTAATTAAAGGAACAAAGAGAAGACCAAGAATTAGAAATGCGAGCTAATTGGTTGAGACTAATTGATAACAATCATTATTTTTCGAGGAATAACCAACATGATTATGAGCTGTTTGAATGCTGTGTAAATGGTGCTGCTGCAAATGAACTTAGCTTTGAGCCGGATGGATTGAAGAACTTCATGAAGAGGATTAGTTTGTGGTTTGTGCAGTAAACTGAACATCTAATGGACTTCCTTTCAGAAGTATAAAATACAGTATTAGTTAGCCCTTCACACTCGCAATGACCATAAACTGTTTCCAAGAGGCCAATCTGGTGGTTCCTCACTGACTAATAGCAATAAACACCGCTTAGGATGAAGTCATGACACAAAGACATTCAAAAGTTTAGGATCAGTAATATTTTGCTCACCAAGGCTGCATTTATTTGATCAAAAACACAGTAAAAACAGTAATATTGTAACTTAAAATAACTATATTTTCTATCTTCTCCTCAGAAATCATTATAATATGCTGTTTTTCTGCTCAAAAAATATTTCTTATTATTTTATCAATGTCGAAAGCTGCGGAACCCCTTTTTTTCAAGATTCATATTTTATATGGAATAGAAATCTTTTGTAACACTATATCTATTGCTTTTGATCAATGTAATGCATCCTTGCTGAATTAAAGTAATCATTTCATTAAAAAAAAAAGTTACCGACCTCAAACTTTTAAATGATGCCCAGATGAGCAAATATTGGTCATGCCTAGTCATTATTCTGAATTGTTTCATATAGAACCTGCAGCAGAAGGTGTTGTATAGGGTGTTGTACACTTTTGAGTTGATTCAACAATACAGTATCAACTTTAATGTAGCGTCTTCCGTTGCTATCCTCCAGATTGGGCTCTGTTCAGTTCCGAAACATTAACTTTGGGGGATTAATTGAATTTCTGAGACTGAGACTCATCAATATGCCTCAGTAGAGAATATTATATCAAATTAATTTATGCGGCAAGTTTGCCAAAATCGTGAGTCAACGTTGGCACCGACATCAAAAGTTAGCTGGCATTATGAGACGTAATTCTTCACGAGAGTGGCGTTTATGATAGCCGCTTTGTCCCGTTGCTCAAAAAAAGCTTCCAATTCTGTTTTATAGCCGGTTGGTCCTAACGTTTTGAGTAGATTATTGAAATTTAGTAATGAGGTGAAATTTGTAATGAGGTTAGGGCGACGCGGTTGCATTTTCTTTCGGCAAAATTGCTTTCTCTCGTTCTTTCGAGCGCCCAGAACCCACAATGCATTGGTGTATGTTGCTCTGTTGATTGTGTACGACCGGGCACCCTCTTCATTATGGCAATTGAGAGGTTCATATTTCAACCTAATAGCTCTCGATAACTTTAACAATTGATCACAACCTCATTTTATTGCGAGCCGAGTTAATACACGCTTCCCTGCCAAGTAGAACATTTTCTAATGATGTACTTGTGCACCAAAACAATGCGGGGCCCAGCGCCTGCATTAGTTACTAATGTCCCCATCCGTAATGTGCTTATACCACCCAAAAGAGAGAGAGAGGGAGAGTGTGTGCAAAAATGAAATGAGCGCATGGGGATCTATGAGGGAACCGCAAGATCAAGGGGAACATGGTGATGATGACGATAACGCTTAAGACGCTGTCATTAATGACACCATCACCCTCGCTGCTGTAATATGTCCATAGACATGCCATCATTAGCATATATAAGATCATCAGTAAGGCTTATCGTAGGAGCCAGAGAGGGAGGGCTGGGAATATGGAACACCAGTATTCCTCAGATTTCCCTGATTAATGAAGGGCAAAACATGATTTGTTTTCACCAAAGCTTCCTATCCTGTGAAATACTTCATTGGTCAGCTACTAGACTGTAAAATGGACAAATTATTATATCAGTATGAGCTTTTTAAATACAAAAGTAAAATTGTAGGCCTATTTAATGCTTCTCATTCTGGTTCTGAGTCTCTCACAATGCATGTGACCCGTAGCTTTGTCTCTCAGTCTCACCATATATATCATTTCATGTTCATAAATACGCTTCACAGGGAGTCATGCTGGAAAATCCAATTACTGTAGTTCAAATTGAACATTTGTCAGCATTTACAGTATGTAAAAGTTATTCATTACAATTTGCTAGCACCTTGTGTGATTAGTTTTATATAGCTACAGTTGGGGATATTTCCCATACATTTAAGAAAACAGTGCAGTTTAGCACTTACAAATAATTAAAATATCATAGCATATGTTTGCTACATAAAAATATAATAGGAATGTCAAAATAATTTTGCCAGAATATATCAGGTGAAAGAAATGTCCAATTGTCCTGATCTTTTCTTTACACAACTTTGTTGCAAAAATGTCGAGCACAAACATTCCCATTTTAAAAAAGCAACTTCATTATATATTTGTTAACCTTTTTTTGTAAGACGTTTTTGATTCACTGTGGTTTCTTTTGTTTGAAATACACAGAAATTCAAATGGCTTTGTGGTGTAAGGCTGTTTATTCATTAAATTCAACTTTTTTCAAATTAATTTTCCCATGTAAAATTAATTCAGTGTGGAAAACAAACCCATGCACATGGCAAATGAAAGTGTTGCTCCAATCCGTTCCAGGCTGTGACTATTTGACTCAGTACCTCATGAAAAACTCATCAAAATGAGTTGCTCAGGTCTCAATAGTGTTGAAATGACTCTATCTAGTGGCGAGAATACAACACTACAGTGTGAAAGATCTCTGCACATAACAGAAAGATGCACTTTATTGATCCCTGAGGGTAAATTTGAGATATTCATGTCCTGATTTGCAAGATATTATACACTCCAAACTGTATGCAATCACTATGGCTAAGCTATAAAAACTTTAAGAAGTTGCAGCTTAAATGTGAAACTTCGACTTTCCTTGGCCACTAAGTCACATTTTAGCCCAATTATACCCTCAATACATATTTGAGATGACGAATCTTAAAGTCCCCGTGAACCGGAAGTTGCAAACGACTTTTCTCCAGTGTTGTGACGTATTTCCGAGAGAAACGGAATACTAAATGAGGCAAAATGGTGGGCGTGGCTTTTTCCCCAACTAGCACCTGATTGGATCTAGAAAAGTAGGTGTTTTCATTCAGCCTGTCTACTGTCAGTTGGAGGGGCGTGGTTATGGATGTTAAGAAGACGCCCAAACCGTGAAACCTACGTCATCAGGCAAGGTCCTCCAACGCAGAGGGGAGGGGAAATTTCAGATTTGGATTAAAGATTACGAAGCCAAAAAAATTTGTGTGGATTGACTTGCATGGATGAATTGTTCACCACAAAACGATCAATTTAGGCAAACAAAGTAAGTATGGCCAATTTTGAATTCATGGGGACTTTAAAGGGATAGCTCAGCCAAAAATAATAGTGGCCTAATTCAATCTGTTCATCATATAAAGCGATCGAGTCTTTCCAAAACTTTGGACTAAATCACTCAATTCATATGAATTAGTTTAACGATCTCTTTATGAACTTTTTGAAGAGTCAAAGTGGTAGTTGCGTAGCTGTCAATGGAGGGACAGAAAGCGCTCAGATTTCACCAAAAAGATCTTCATTTGTGTTCTGAAGATGAACGACATGAGGGTGAGTAATTAATGACAGAATTTACATTTTTGGGTGAAGTTACCCTTTAATAAGACTAACAATCATGTAAATAATATTCAGTAGTACTATGGTAACAGCATGGACATTTATAAACTAATATTTAATCAGGAAAAATCAGTTGTTTCCAAGTTTTGTAGTATGGTATACATTGTACATAAGCGCATAATCATTAGATACCATTCCCTCAGTGCAGTATTCTTCTGCACTTGCAAATAAACCTGAGCAAAGAGATTGCTTTTTAAACCAGAATAACGAATACCGGTTCCACCCAAGTTTCTGTGTGCATTTATTAATATTGAATAGTGATTGCAAACATGGCCTTTACATTTTTTGTATTAGTTGAAAAGATTCCCACCCCTTGGACAGCTCTCAGGTGATCACTTGGAGCTGGTGTATTTGGTGACGGCCTTGGTTCCCTCTGACACGGCGTGTTTGGCGAGTTCCCCGGGCAGCAGGAGCCTGACTGCGGTCTGCACCTCTCTGCTCGTGATGGTGGAGCGCTTGTTATAGTGCGCGAGCCGGGACGCCTCTGTAGCGATGCGCTCGAACACGTCATTAACAAACGAGTTCATGATGCTCATGGCCCTGCTGGAGATACCAGTGTCCGGATGAACCTATGGTGGAATGCATGTATATATACACACACATAAGCAATAAGCAACAACAGTTCTGTGATTAAAATATTACATTTTAATATCTAATAATGAGGGTAAACAATTCTTCCACCTAGTAATATAGCTAATTGGCCTAATAACTATGGGCCGCTTACAGGTTCCAAGCAACGATTAAAAATTCAGTTCATTAGCATATATAAGTTCAGTTCAGTTCAAAAACTAGTACATATATATATATATATATATATATATATATTTTGATTTCATTTCACTTTTTTTGATCCACTTCAGATGTTGACACACACACCATGTGATTACATCATGATGTAAAAAATAAATAAATAATATATATATATATATATATTTTTATATCATGACGTAATCACATGGTGGGGTGTCCATGTCTTTTGGTTATATTTTAGTAGTAGTAGTAGTAGTACTATGAAATCGATTAATCACATAAAAGTTTGTATTTAATTATATATATATATGTGTGTGTGTATGTGTGTGTGTGTGTGTGTGTGTGTGTGTGTGTGTGTGTCAACATCTGAAGTGGATCAAAAAAGTTAAATCAAAGTTGTCATATGACAAGAACGGGTAGGCTATTGTTCAAAATGTATATGTACGTATTCATGTATAACTTTGATAAAAAGTTGATCCACTTCAAATGTTGACTACTGAGATAAACAAACACACACACACACTAGATGTGATTAATCGATTTGACAGGCCTATTTATTAGACAAAGCGTTTATTGAAGTGTTGTGTCCTAGCCATAATTCTATGGATTAAATGGATAATGCCATTTAGAACCTGGATAAAATTTAGCCTACATTATAAAAAAAATATATACTTACATTTATTGGATGAAAAGTTTCTTATGATATACCAATATTTTTTAATAAAAACAATTTCGTTTTCTTGTGGGTATTTATTGACTAAATTGATAGGCTTATCAAGTTGTAAACATTTGATCCCGAATCGGACAGATCTAAAACAAACGGTTCTTTGTTCAGTGAATCAAAAAGACGCATGACTCGAGAACCTCTCGGAGCGATTCAACCGACACATCGAAAAGATTCGACTCATAAGAATGAATCATTCACGAATCCATCGCGATTGCACGTGGCGTCAAACGCAAGTCATCAATCAACATTTACAGTGGGAATCATCCGTTTGATAAGTATTCTTCGATAATCTTTATTATTTATGAAAACTCACCCACCTGCTTCAAAACTTTGTAGATATACACTGCATAAGTTTCCCTCCTCTTTGCTCTCCGTTTAGTTGGTTTTTTGTCTCCTGGTACTTTTCCTTTTTTTTTGGCTCCTTCATTAGACATACTGGATTTTTCTTTTTATTAATGAAACTAAGCAATATTTGTTGCTTTCAGCTACGTGTTTGCCGCTTCGGCAGGTCTTCAGCAGGCCTTCATCAGCCATTTATGACGTGTACGGAAGTGTACACTAATTGGAAAGCGTCTGCTCTCAATCTCGCGTGGCGAGCGGAAGTCAGATCTCCACTCAGGATATCCAGTAAGCGTTCAAGTTGTTTTATTTTTCTACCTCCTGTGTCACATTTTAGTTGGTAAACAGATAAGTTAAAGGGGTAGTTAAGCCAAAAATGAAAATTGTTATCATTTACTCACCCTCATATTGTTCCAAACCTGTGAGTTTTTTTTCTTCTTCTTCTCCATATTACTATGGAAGTCAATGATGGGCCCCATCAACTGTTTGGTTACAGACATTCTTCAAAATATCTTCTTTTGTGTATAGCAGAAGAAAGAAACTTGTACAGGTTTGGAAAAACATGAGGGTGAGTAAATGATGACAGAATTACATTTTTTGGGTGACCTATGAACTAATCCATAACAAATACGCAGATAACATTTATTTAACTCTTTCTTTTCCTTGTTTTTAAAACTAAAGAGATCATACTGCCATAGGAGGAATATTGCACAATGAATGAGCTTGACTTTTTATCTAACATGATGAATGACCCAGAAATAATTTTGAACTAATTAAATGATTAAATGACAAAGTTAAGACACTGTTACAAAACTGCATTAAAAATGTATGTTTTAATTTCCAAGATGATAACTGGTTACTGATATTGATGAATTAAACATTCAACCTAGTGACGTCATGTTTCAAAATGAATGCATGTTGTTACATTTTACAGTGTTTTGCATATTATTTTAAAAAAGTAGTCTGCGAATAGTATGCAGTTTGATATCCAGTGTTCATTGCAGGTAGCTTTCAGCTGGGAGTTTTGGCGCATTGTATTTCATGCCGTTGTATGATTTGATTTTTAATTTATGCTTGAATTAAAATGGCAGTCAGGACTTCATTTGCCATTTATATTTATTGCTGCTTTCTGTAGATTCAGCCATAGTTGCACCAAATATCACTTTTGAAATCCATAAAACATCTGGCCAGAGATGAGACAAGGTTCAGGTGGTGAAAGGATGCAAATTGCTCGTCACGCCTACAGTTAATTAGCTTCCGGCATAATATGCCAATTATGTTAAAGAGCTGCACCTGCAGATACTCATTACAGCACAGCAAATTATGAGAGAGGCTAATATCTGTGCTACTTGTACAATTTTGAACTTCAGGAGAGCCTACTTTACTGGCCTAACTAGTAAATAATTGAGTTTAGTTGTTGTGTGTATTATATGCGAGTGCTGTCAATCAAGTGCCATTGTTAAAAATTGTCCCCTGGTTTCACAGACCAGGCTTAAGCCTTAACCTGTCAGTGCTATTGACAGTTCAAACATGCATTTTAACCTGGGACTAAACTTAAGCCTTGTCTGTGAAACCAGAGGTCATAATTCTGATGTTATTCAGATAATCTAACAAAAATTGAGATGCATAATATGCCGAAATCAGTTGTGTACTCTCACATCAATCATTTTCTGCACTATATTTACTATTTTTTTTATTTATTGAATATTTATTATAGGGATAGATTAGCTTGACTTTTTATTTAGCTATATATTTAGCTTTAATTTAAAAAGTTTAGGAATCTTACACTGGTTCAAACGAGGCTACTGTATTGAATGTGTTTGATTTATGTTGAAGTGTTTGGGACATGGCTTTTAATGGTGAGCCTTTTGTTTTTGTATTCAGGCTATCAAAGTATATCAAAATTTGAATTTAGATTTATCGGCCAATATATTGGTTATCAGCTTTCAAATTATCAGTAGAAAGAATTATCAGTTATTGGTATCGGCCAATAAAAGTGCTCCACACGGCTCTAGGGGGTTAATAAAGGCCTTCTGAAGCAAAGGGTTTGTGTAAGAAAAATACACAACTTTTATGATGGATAGATGCACTTTTATGGACTTTAAAACAGAAACAGCCATTCACTGCCATTATAAAGCTTGGAAGAGCCAGGACATTGTTTATTATATAGCTCCCATTGTATTCGTCTGAAAGAAGAATGTCATATACACCTAGGATGGCTTGAGGGTGAGTAAATCATGGGCTAATTTTCATTTTTGGGTGAACTAACCCTTTAAAGCAGAAGTTGTTTATCCATTGATTATTCATTTTGGAACTGACACAAGGTAGCACTGGCGCTTCTCGTAATCATGCTGGATAGTATAGTTTTGCTGTCTGAGACCAATTTTAGAAAGTGTCAAAGATTTTTCGTTGTAGGTCAGAATCGTCAGTTTTGGATCTTTTAATGCGACATGCTTGCTGATGGGTAATAAATTTCCCTTGCGATGAATTTTAGAAATTCTCACAGTGTTAGAAATGTTGCTGCTCCTACGGCGTCTGTCTAACGAAGAACCAATAAGTGTGTAACAGTTGATGACATTTGTGTGTGACATGTTCATATACAATTGTACAATTGTTCAAATAAAACAGGTTGCTTATAGGTATGCAGCTTAAAGCCAGCATGAAATCAAAATTTCTTGACAATTCATGTTATGGAAATTGCAGTGGTGGAGGAAGTACTGAATCTCAGTACTTAAGTAAAAGTACAAATAACCAGAGACATATTTACTTTAGTAAAAGTAGAAGTACCACAATGACAACCCTACTTAAGTAAAAAGTAAAAAGTACCTGATTTTAAATGTACTTTAAGTATTAAAAGTAAAAGTACTTGCATAACAATTTATTCTCTTAATGTCTATATTCTAATGATTAATAAAACAGTTAATTCTAACTCATTCAACCTAATACTCATATAATGATGTTCAATATGATGGAAAAGCAGTTATATTTTAAGTTTTTGTCACCATTTCTGAACAAGCTTGCAATTAGGCAATATACGCATCAAGCTTACTATATACCCTTACTATATACGGTGTATATATATATATATATATATATATATATATATAAACACACATATTATGTTAAAACGCCGTATACGACGGCGTTTGGCTGTAAACGCGATTCATTTATGGCGTAATTCTGAACCTCTTGGCTTGCCATACTAATCCTTACCAAACGTATAATACACACGCACCCCACATCACTACTAAACCTGCCAATGTGTTTCCTATGCATGTAAAACTAATTTTCGCATATAAATTGCACGATAAACACACTGCGTGCTATAGAGACGCATTTAGTGTGACCGGGTTGATATATCTATGGCAACCAGACTTCACTGGTGAGACAAACGTGCGACGAACGGACGGTCAGGATGACGTTTTGACAGAGGAAAAACTGATCAGAAAATTTTACGAAAATGTAACAGAACGTTGTAGAAATGTAGTGGAGTAGAAAGTATAATAATTGCTGCAAAATGTAACGAAGTAAAAGTAAAAAGTATCCACTATTGATTCTACTTAAGTAAAGTACAGATACGTGAAAAATGTACTTAAGTAAAGTAACGAAGTATTTGTACTTCGTTACATTCCACCACTGGGAAATTGCAGTATTTATTATAAATGATTGATCCATGCACATCATTATTTTTTTGTAAAAATTCTTGTGCCATTTTAATCTTCAACCAAAATAATCATCCCCTCCCTCTTGCAATGGCATTTCTTTTCTTTGATGATGGGTTTACTGGCATGAAGGCGGGACAACCTATCAATCAACCATCCATCCATCTAGTCAATTCCCCATGGACAAAATCAAGTCCCACCCTACATTTTTTTTTTTTTCTCGATCAAGATGTTTAGATATCATATTGTCACAATAGTGAAGAAAAGACTATTGCAACCTCCGTTTCTTGCCGATTATAAAGGGGGAGGTCATTGTTTATTTGCATATACTACCGTCATAGTAACAATGAAAATCTGCAAACTTATCCTATTATGTTTTTTTTTTTGGATATTACCTTTAATGTAGTAATATAGCTGTTTGTGAATGTAAGTTACAAAGATCAAAGTTCACGATAAATGGAGTTGTTGTCTCCTAAAAGAACCAATTCTGAACGAATCGTCAGTAATTCTAGTCTCAAGCCCCGTTCACACTACAAGTGACAAAGCGACACGATACCATTCATTTCAATGGGGGGCGGGCGATTTCCGGCGACACGCGTGACTGTTGGCGACCGGTGGTGCGTGTCTGGCGACGCGACAAAGTTGAGATCTGTTTAACTTTATGCAAATGCAGAGCGACTTTCGGGAGCGACAACCAAAAGGAGTGAAGTCAGTGGAGCGCATCGCTCTTCAGTGCTGAGTCTGACCGAGGCAAGTTGAACGAGAAGCTCATTTTAGCAGTCAGAAAATGTCCTATAATTTCTGATATATCTCCGTGTGGTATTCACCGTACTGACTCCGTGCCTGAATGGTTTCGGGAACCCAGATAGACCGGTATTTGCCCGTTTGCTGCAGTTAAATAGCCGCGATGGCAAAGAGCACTCACTGTTTCTCGTTCAACTTTAATAATATGCATTTTATGTACTGATTCCATTTATATTTAGACTTTTCCTTCCAAAATATTTGTTTGTAGCGGCAAGAAAACGTATTTGTTGTCTAACATAGAGTAACAACCGTGAATGTCACTCACAAACATTACTAGGCAACCAGTAGTGGGAACGCCCTCCAGCGCAGCCACTGCCGACCTGCAGCGACAAAGTCGCTTGTAGTGTAATCGGGGCTTTAAAGGGATAGTTCACCCAAAAATGAAAATGATGTCATTAATGACTCACCCTCATGTCGTTCCAAGCCCGTAAGACCTCCGTTCATCTTCAGAACACAGTTTAAGATATTTTAGATTTAGTCCCGAGAGTTTTCTGTCCCTCCATTGAAAATGTACGGTATACTGTCCTTGTCCAGAAAGGAAGTAAAGACATCATCAAAGTAGTCCATGTGACATCAGTGGGTTAGTGAGAATGTTTTGAAGCATCGAATACATTTTGGTCCAAAAATAACAAAAACTATGACTTTATTCAGCATTGTATTCTCTTCCGGTTCTGTTGTCAATCCGCGTACATTTTCAATGGAGGGACAGAAAACTCTCGGACTAAATCTAAAATATC